TATATATATAAATATATATATATATATATATATATATATATATATATATATATATTATCAGCATGATTATGTTCGCGTCGTGATCAGCGTCATTATCAACATCATTATTACCATCGTCATCACCAACATTAACAGCATCATTATCAACATCATTACTACAATCGCCATCACCAACATTAGCACCATCATTATCAACATCATTATTACAATCGTCATCATCAACATTAACAGAATCATTATCAACATCATTATTACAATCGTCATCATCAACATTAACACCATCATTATCAACATCATTATCAACATCATTATTACCATCGTCATCATCAACATCATTATTACCATCGTCATCATCAACATTAACACCATCATTATCAACATCATTATTACCATCGTCATCACCAACATTAACAGAATCATTATCAACATCATTATTACCATCGTCATCACCAACATTAACAGAATCATTATCAACATCATTATTACCATCGTCATCAGCATCATTATCACTGTCGTTGTCAGTATCGTTATTAACATAATTTTAGCATTGTTGTCAGCGCGTTCATTAACATAATTATCATCGCTATTAGCGTCATTATAAGCGCAATTATAATAATTGCTTTCAGCGTCATTATCAGTATCGTTACCCGCATCGTTATCCATATTGGTAGCAACATTGTTATCGGCATTCTTATTAGCATCCATCGCTATAATTATGCACCTCTTACACAATTTACAAATTAAATTCAAAACGTATCGCCGTAAAATGTTGATCGCGTTGCGAAAAACACCTCATCCCATCGGCATCCCGGCATCCCGTCATCCCGTCATCCCGTCGGCAGTTCAACGACCGCATTTTGCGATGTTTCGCGCTGGAGATTACACGCTCCGTACTGCTGACTGAGTGACTGGCTGACCTGACTGGGAAGCAAACTGACGCTCTTGACACAGCTAGCAGCGTCTCGACTGATAGTAATGAAGAACAACGCTGTTCTTGCCTCAATAAAAAATACGCGAACATCTATTAATGTACGTGTTGCATTCGACCTGACCACGCTTACCGTCCAGAAGCAATCGGTGCATCCTAGATCCCCTCTATATAAAAAGCGGTATGGGATTCATAGATAAATAGGCTATGCATAAATGCAACATTATAACCAAACTTAGTACCGAGAAAGGAGGCTACACGCGGCGGCACTGTCGATGAATGTGGAAACGTCGGCGAAATGTTCAACAAGGAAGCTGAACCCGTGAATCTCATCATCACTGCAATCCTCAACTACCCAAACGTTGCCGATGGTGTTGCGATCTGCTGCCTAGCTCGGGCCGCCCGCTGTACCCGGCATGCATTTCGGCAGCCGGTGCCGATCTGTGTTCTGTCACCGCGGTGAACCTGATGGAATGCGTAGATGAGATTCGAGAGAAACGAGAGCATTACGTGTTGAATTAAGTGTGAGTCATGTCGGCCCATGAGTCTGCGTCAGCGTTTCCGCCGGCGATGTCTTTGCGCGCACGGCGACGCTCTCCCATGCTCTCTTCCTCTCTCTCTCTCTCTCTCTCTCTCTCTCTCTCTCTCTCTCTCTCTCTCTCTCTTCCTCTCTCTCTCTCTCT